CTCATCTCCTTGCCTGCCGCTATACTTCTCCCACTAAACCTTTTGCAGAACTAAACCCCTACACCACAATCAAACAAATCTCCAAAGAACTTTGCAAGGAGAAGATGACCTGGTTTAAGGAACGTGAGAACAATTTCTTGGTATTAGGTTTTATGGAGGAGCGGAGAAGTGGACTCCAACATTTGCCAAGTCCCTTCCAGCCCTGCTGTTTCTCTATGAGCAACAGATGAACACGAAGAAGAGCCGGCTTAGCTTGCAGTTTACTTGGGAATTTGAGCCGCCTCTTGCAGCTCCAACGCCACCTCCCAAACGAGCACTCGCAGTTTGATTGGTGCAGTCACCCTCACTTTGGGAAAACGGAGACAGCTGCTCAGCCCCCGTCGACCCGCGGGACTTGCAAAGGAAGGAGGCACGGTTTTCCTGTGTAGGGTGGTCAGAAAATAACTGAGCTTTCATACGACAGCTGAACAGAAAATACCTCTGTTTGCTGACTTGCACCCAAGCTGGTAGAAATGCCCCCAATTAAACCAGCAAGGCAGCCCACGGGCAAAGGGATGTGGAGGATCTAATACAAGGAGCGGTGTAACAACCCTCATCTCCCAGAAGCAGCAATGCCACGGGGACACTTCGAAATGGTTACCCAAAAGGTGTCCCCAGCAGTAATTTTACATTTACAGCATGTAAAATCTTTGTAATAAATACATCACTGCTGGGCTATCTGCTGCCTTAGGTCCTCTCCTGACTATGGCACAAGCACTTTTGGATGTCATTGGAAGGTGACTGAAGAGTTTTTGGGCACAAGGCCTCTGACAAGCAGACCTTTTAGGGTTATTTTTCCTCCAAACCATTCCATTCTTAGCAATGTCAGATGCTACTTCCCATACAGGACGGAGAAGGGTTAACCCGGCGGGGGTGTTGCTGCAGCACTGTAATTCAAGGTGCTCCCTCCAGCACAATGGCTGAGTGTTCTCTTCCCAGCAGTTACTGGCTTGAGAGAGAATCAAACTAATTACCTTAGTAATTACCAAACTAATTACCTCTCTAATTACCAAGAGGCTTTGTTCACATGGAGCTGACATTCTTGCAGAGGAGCCCTGGCTCAGCGCCCCGTGCTCTCTGGGAACCTGCCTGGCTCTTTCACGATGACTTGAAGACCCAGGTCCTCTTCACACCACGGTCCTCCTCGTACCATATTCAGGATATCGCCCTCTTCCTCAGGGAGGGGTAGATGCTGATCAAGCTCCGTGGCTGGCGCAGGTGAGTTTGCATTGCAGTGACCGTTTTGCTGCCAGGCAGACTACGAAAGGGCACAGTACCTTTGCAGCATGTAGGTTTCTCTGGTGGGAATATCCTTAGCACGGTGCTGCGGGATCACCACCAGGCTGATGATCAAACTAGAGACGCACTTTCCTCCGGGCCCTACTTGATACTGCTCCCTCCGGTAAGAACAGCATCTGAGAGCAAACAGGAAGGTGACTTGAGATGACAGACGTTCCTCTCTGACGCGGAGTTGAAAACAGCAGGGTGTTCACCAAGCAAAACCCAACGTGAACATCACTGTCAACTTACCTCACCTCCTCTCCCCAAGCTTATTCCCTCTTTGTTTTCCAGACCTCTACTTGAAACTCACCCTGGGGTCTCAAGAGCCAGGGTCTGGTAGTCACTCGCCACTCTCCCGAACTTCAATGTGACAGTGGGTGCTTAGCCCTGAAAACAGCCCCCAGCTCTTTAAGGAAGAATCATTGTTCTTAAAGCATGAACACAAATGGTTTCATCTGTGTGCTGATCATGACCTGCAGAAGATTTCATATGAAGAGATAGAATCATAGAATAGAATCATCGAATCATAGAATCATCGAATCATTGAGGTTGAAAAAGACCTTTAAGATCATCCAGTCCAACCATTAACCTAACGTTACCAAGTCCACCACTAAACCAATTAAGGAAGAGTAAGCATTTCACGTTTCCTGGCTTGGTGGCTGAATTATTTTTTAATGAAAGTAAAAATTAGATGTTAGAGCCTGAACACAGAAAGGACTCTCATGGCTGTAGAATGGATGCCCACCTTGCTCATGACCTCTGTTGCTCTCTTCCACGGTCCCCTCTCTTGTGTCTTCAGCCAACTTCCAAAACGCAGCACCAGCTCAACATAAACCTTTACAAATTATGAACTGACCAGCTTACAAATTCAGTTCTGCAGCTATCTGCCTGCAGACGAGAAGATACCGAAAGCAAGGCTGCCTCGCGCTGTCCCGGCAGAACCTACTGTGATGAACAGCTGGTTTTGATTAGGGATCTCTAGGTGCTCATAGAACAGAAAGACGAATATAAAGAAAACACTAGAAATAACCAGTTTGCCTTGCCCAAACACGATCAGGATTCACAGCCAGAGGGAAGACCTTGCAACAGTTTGCAGAGAAGAATAGAATTTCTGTTATTTTGGAAAGGAAAACAAGAAGAATAGAAAAGGGAAAGGCTCCCCCTCCTATCGCTTCTTCAGCTTGAGACATGACATGTAATTCCTTCAGGCAGAGTCCACCTGAAACTCCATTCCCCTCTTTATATTCTCTCAAAAAGGCCACAGGATCTAAAAGAGAAAAAAGAAGTCGCCATCTGAGCTGTAAAATTTATCCCAACCCATAGCTATTTCCATATTAAAGCTAATTCCAAATATCTGCTTAAAACTGTAATGCAGGGATATCCTAACAGGTGAAAAAAACCCCTCAACACTGCAAGGTTATGAGATCTGTCTCAGACACACATGACTCCTGAGGAAAGGAAGTCTAGTATTTGAAAGAGTCTAACGCTACTAAATTACATGAGAGTAGGAGATCAGTGATTATTTTGACATCATTGAAAGACTTGTGATTTGTTCCACAGACACTGAGCAAAGAACAATGAAAAGCTTTGATTTAGCTGTTACAATACTGCTTTTCCATTTAAAACCCTAGGTAAAATTGCCCTTTGGTTACAGCTGATCAGAGCTTGTGAATGACCAACAACAACATCTGAAATTATCCTCTAGCATGGGCAGAGAGTGTCATGCCTTCATCTATCTATCATCCTTAGAGAACATCATCCCTGTCATCCCTTCTGAGATCAGGATCCATTAAGCTGAGTTCAAACTCTCTGTTTGGCAATCTTAGAGAGATCTGGTTATTTCTGAGGAGGGAGACCTCCCCACAGGTTTTCCATTCTTAAAAAAGAGAAAAAGGGGAAACTTCAAATAATCTCAATCTTGAAATGCAGCTACAAGGTAAGTTTTGGCTGGAAGAACATTGTCCAGAACAGACTGGACCCAGCACTCTTCCTCCTTCCCCCCAGTACCATAAACAGTAAGACACACACTCCTCTTGCTTGTGCTTTGTCAGGTCCTATGAACCTTGCTTTTTTATTATTGTTTTAAAATATCATTAGTCCAGTTTCAAAACAAACCATGGCAAATGTCTCTGGTTTAGGCAGACCTACCACTTCCTTCAGCAGAAATGTCCAACATCACCTCTCAACTCTGTTTTCAAAAGAAGAGCGACAGCAAGTGGAGAAGGAAGAAGTCAAAGACTGACGAAAGGACTAGGATGCAGGTACGCAGAAGGAGGGGTGTAAAGGCAGAAGAGGTGGCAAACTGAAGCTCACTCCAGAAACATTCAGAACTGCTGCTCTACTTTAAAGGCAAAAGTTGTCCACAACGTGGGCAATGTAAAGTCTACACCCTGTTTGCCACAATCAGCATCCCCCAAGCTCAAGCACCACATGCTAGAGATGCTGCTAGTGATGATACAGAAGATGTTTAAAGAACACACCACCTCAAATGAAGCCCGAAATACAGTTGGAACAAAGCAAGTAAGACTGACTCCCATTGCTCAAGGCTGTCAGGATGGGAAACCAATAAACATTTGGCAATAACAGAGACCTTCCTTCCCGACATAGTTCTTCTCCTGATTTTACAGAATCATCTGGCCTTAAAAACGTCTGCTTTTCCTCTATGCTGCGTTTTGCTGCCAATTCTAAGTCTGGCAAGGATGGATCTGCCAACTTCTTGGCTCTCTGTTACAAAAGAGAACATTATAAAGGAGAATTTGTGAGTTAGCTGATTTGTAAACACTACAGCAAGTCGCTATGTAAACATGTCGCTTATGTCCCTATTATTTCTCTCAAGCAGTTTACCTGGCACCTGATGTTGAACTCCAGAATCTTCCCCTCCTACTGATACTACAGTCGCTTCACATGTAAAAATGCCCAGCTTCTTTTTGTAGCATTTAAAAAAAAAAAAATTCTTAATTAAACAGTACTCACAAAGCGTCTTGATAATTAGAATAGGAGAGTCACTGGCAATATTTTGAATATAAATGAGATCCGCAGGTGCACTCGCAGTTGTACAGTAGGATGCAGTTCAAACATAACCAATTAGAGAAACAGAACAGGTAAATAAATAGCAGAAGGCTCTAGACACATTGCTCATTTGACAGTGTTACTATTACTATTGTGTAAAAACCTTTTCTAAGATTGCTTGCTAAGATGAATGCGGCAGTCATTATCTGAACAAAAACAATTAAATGAAACTGGGTACTTGCATAAAGATGGTTTGCAGTTTTGGGCACTGTATGCCCTTTCATTCACAAGTACTCTCCAAGAAAGGCAACTCTGGTGGTACATGAATCACAGCACGCTATCACGTGGGATCCTTTTAGGTTGCTGTGATGGGAAAACAGTTATATGTAAGTACTGTTCCCGAAATCAAGGTTGGTTATGCATAAAAATCTATGCTTTAAAGCTCCAGCAATAACATCTGCTGGAAAAACACGATTGACACAGCAGAGGGAACACCATCCGCCTCTGAGAAGTGGAAAGAGAGACAGACTGAAACATCAATCTTGTGCATAAAATATATTTATTGTTGGTACTTGAGGCATATTCATCAGTACTTGATAGGAGTGAGGAGCACAACAGAATCATTTCATGTAAATAAAGGCCATGTTACATCTTAAGTGTTGGATCATTAACATCATTCCAGCAGAAGGCCTGGAGAGAGACTTCATTAAGTTACATAATTTGTGAAATAAGTTAAAGCACAATTTACGTCATTAAACATTGTAAGGAAAACTTTAATACGAGCAACGAATACAGGCTGTACAGTGAGGAGCAGCAGCTGACTGGCTCACAATGTACCACCGCGTCCCAGCACACCAAGCGTTACATATCCGTGCCTTTGACAGTGAGAAGTTTTTCAGGAGATTCTACACTGAAATAGCAGCATTTGAAGGATATTTCCCCTTTCTAAGGTCAGTGAAAGGTTCTTTTCTTTTCCATCCTTCAATCACCAATAAGTGGATTTTACTAACACTGAACAGTATCTTCAGATGTATGATTTCTCATGTAATAAGATACAGGTCTTGGCTTTTCAAATGGTCACACTGATTGAGCTGTGATGGCTCCTGCTCTTGAAATGGCTCTTCCAGTTCTTCTCTTTATTGGTCTGCCCTGTAAATGGGCTGTCATATCATTCTTGGGAAAAATGCTCTTCTGCTGAAATTAGAGTTGATGGTCTTGTGCTTGATTTGGACAATGCCTTTATCCTCCTCTCCCAAGCATGCTCTGCTAAGAAAGTGGTCAGAGGGGAGGGGAAGGGAGAGGGAGAAACACATATTTCAATAACTCAGTTATTCCAGAGAAGTTTGGCTACAGTTCCTTCTTAGGAACTGCAATTTTTTAAATTAAAATATAGAAAAAGAAACATTGTCAACATACACATCGTCACAGAGACAAGTCACAGAAGCAGAATGAAGCTATTTCAGGACTCAACAAACCAGCCATTTAGAGGCCTGAAGAGCGGCAGGAACGATTCCTTTTCATCCATCCTAACGTTATCATGGCTCTAGTCATGCTATGGCTATTAAGGAAATTAAAACATCTGAACTTAAAATAAGATAAATCCTGTTCCCAGCAATTACGTACTCGAGGAAATATATCCTGAAGTCATACAACACTAAGTATATCTCCCCTACCTACCTCCTTCCTGTGTTCTGAGTCATAATCAAAATCTCGATAGTCTGAACATGCTGCACTGCCCTTGTGCTTCATTAATCACCTCCTGTGCACAGCCAGGCCACCAAGAGCTAAAAGTATAGATCTGTCAAGTAGTCCAAGAGTTATTCCTTCTGCCACACCAGAGAGCTCTGCCATCAAGGTCTTGAGACTCTTCAGAGAGGTCCTGGCCTCTACCATGAAAATGCAGACTTGCAAGGACAGTATATAGGGCTCTACTAAGAACTTCCTACTGCCGTGATCTAGAAATAAAAGGTCTGCAGAAATGAGCACGTGTATGGATACTACTTGTCTAGATCAGTAAGGAGAACAGAAAGCGGGATCTAATAGGACACCGACAGGCTAGGGAGTAAACGCATGCTGGAGGTCATCTGCCTTCACTGGAGGACTATGACATTGACCAAGGCAATCTACTGCTCTTACCTACGAAATCCATAAAATGGGAAGACAATAATTATAAGTCTCCTTGTAAGAAATGGTAGGAAAGGATTTGATAATTTTTAGGGCTTATATAAGGAGCAAGCCCAAATGTAAACCTTGAAATCTTACAGGAGACCTACAAACAGCTGATTCAAGTAGTTGAGCAGCAGTATCTGGCCAGCGAGGGCACGTTGTCTTGCGAGTCTGGACTGCACTGTCAGGGTCACAGAAGTGAGGGCTTGGGAGAGTTAAAAATAAAGGGAATGAAAAACCTGTTGTCATGTATGTCTTTAACCAAATTCTCATGGTATTTCTAAAAATAACCCAGTGAACCATTCAACTAGATCAAGCAGTGTCTCTGCAAGGATTAAGTGTAACAAGGAGCAGGACAGTGTGCACATGAAAAGATGGTAAAAGTCCTTGTGATCACAAATATTCTCCAGAATCTGTGGTAGAGAAGTACACGCTGACAAAATAAAAGGAGTCAGTTTTATGCTCCCTAGGTTCTATTACAAACAAAAATAAGGGAAACTTTTATAGGTTAACAAAATTTCCAATCTCAGTTTGACAGCATCCCCACAGAGATTTCTGTAAAATTGATGAAGGCTACTTTACCTGGAATACTCTTTTTGCAGTGTATTACAGAAACTTGCTTGAAGCCATCACTGGGCTGAATATTAACTTTACGTAAATTTAACGCTGCATAAGTTAACACAGGAAATTCCCAAAAGATCTAAGAAAAATTGTGTTACTTTTATTTAGTGTCCTAAGGAAAGAAATCACAGGTATTTCTTCATCGCATGCATATTTTTGCCCACAAAATTTCATCTTCAGACAATTGGGAGTGTCCCAGGGCTTGCTTTGGGTTTGTCTACATTTTGAGTTTTTTTTAATGTTCTTTACTGACTCTTGCCATTTAACATCAAAATTTACAAATTTACTTCATGTATTTAAATTTTTTTTCTTGTGTTTTTTTTCATTACACCAGTCTAGGTGTGAAGGGAACCTGGTCTGACTCTTCCATAATAAATTTCCTTCAATCAAGGTAGTGTTAAATGGTGGCCATAAAAGACAATGCCTTTTTATTGCATTTCAGTTCAGTGTTTCCAGCTACACTAATTCTACATATTTTTCTATTAGATTGGAAGATGGTATCTAGTAAAAATACTGGAGGAGGAGGTTTTATTCTGACTGGTTTTATAATGGTGTTATTCTGACTAGGATGCATGATTAAGGACCACTCTAGCCTACAAATTAAAATAATGGTTACAACAAGGCTGAAGGATAACATTTTGTAGCCAGGCTGTCAGACACCAGCAGCTGGTGGTATCATTCTTTGAAGTATTTTCAAATCTCACCTGCCTGCAGAGACTCGCATCCCTCTGAAATTCAACGGTCTAATAGGAAACTACTGCACAGATTTCATTAAGCTATAGTCTAGTTGTGCTTCCATATAGGAATCAGGACTCCCTGTAGCCCAGGGAAAAAAAAAAAAAAAAAAAAGGAAAAAAAGAAGGGTATTTTAAGAGCCACCTTGTCCGTATCAGCGGATGGCAGACTGGGATAAGTGATAAAAATGCCACTGGCTGGTCCGTATTAGCGCAGTGACTGGTCTGGCTGGAGTTACTTCAGCAGTGGGAGCACAAATACATGCCACAGACAATCCTAGTATCTTCACCTTAATGGCTCCATTAAGTAGGTTTTTCACTCCGTTACTATTATAATAAAATGCAAACATTAATAATAGAGTTTAATTTATCTCACTAGCTTCTCATGACTTTGGGAAAAGATTTGAAGTGAAGATACAAGAATGTGTCAAACTCCTCTGAATTAACAGTTCTCTGGGCCCTCCTAACAAGGGGAGAAAAGGACAGATAGAGACATGAGATTACAGACAGGATGAGAAATAAGGAGCATACAGAAGAGAGAGTGAGATAATTATAAGCGAGATAGGAAAGAAAGAGGAGTCAATAAATTCAATTTATGAAAAGCACAGAGTGTGCTCAGCCTGAGCACAAGTGCCCAGACTCACTGCCAGGAAATCGGATTAGTTAACTTATTTGGTTTTCAATATCTTGGTCTATTCCCTCTAGCAAATTTTCTTCTTTGTTTGTTTCTTGTAGCCAGTATCAGTTAACTTTTTCATTTCTGAATCTGCTATTTATCCCACTCCTCTGTCTTCCAACCAAGCACACACAGTAGGTAATTTTGCAGTATTTTATAACAGCGTTTAGGAATAATTTCAAAGGAACTGTCTGGACCTCTGGGCAATCAGCGAGTAAAAATAATTACAATTACAGCTGCAACACATGGAGGATGAGCTATAGAGGACTCATGTTCATTATGAAAAACAATTGTTCCTGCTTACAAATATTTCCATCATAAAAGGCTTCTCTTTCTCTGTTATTGTAAGAGAAACCTCTCTGAATTCTCATCTTGAAGCATGTGTGAAACAGAGTAAGAAGCATTTAGGAAACACTTTTAACTACTTGACAAGCTTGGTTGAAGATCTTCAACAAAAAAGGTATTTAAAAGGGTTCAAAAACCTAACGCTCATATTTATGCAATCTCCTTTTCTGGCACCCTTTGAACATGAATTAATTCATCCTCATCATAGTCTTCTGAAGAAACTCCTATCAGATCCAAACTTTAGTTATAGCTTAAACATGTTTAGCTAATTAATCTAAATTTTCTAGTTACTTTTAAAAATAATATAGAATTATATATACAGCAATTTAGTGTTCCAGATGATGCGAGGCATGGTGAAAATCTAGTCCACTACGTAACAACCTAATATGATTCACTGGCCTTTTTTCTAAAATGTCTCAGAAACACCCATGGGTCCAGTAACTTCAGACTGGATTTTGGAATACAAAAATCAAACTAAGAGAAAACTTAGACAAAATAAATATACACACCAATTATTGTTTGCATAGTAGGAATTAATTAAAAAAAAAAATCACCATTCAATTTAAAGGAAAAAAAAAAAATCCTGTTCAAAAGGTTATGGAGTACTGTACAGCTTAGGGAAGAAGGGGATGAGCAAAATTTGCTGGCTGGAGCCACAGGAGCTCCGGTGCCCAAGGCAGGCACCTGGACAAAGCTGGTTCCACTGCTCACGCTTGGGTGTCTGAGCATGGCTCAACCATCCTTCCAAAATTAATAAAGTGTCAGTAGCTTTATGAAAGAAAGCTTCAGGCTGGGAGATCAGGAAAGTTTTTCATGAGCAGGGAGATCTGGTAGGCTGTAGAGTTTTGAAGGAAACGAAGGAGCTCAGGAGCTGGGTGCATTAACAAGTGGGCAGGAGAAGCACAAAGGCTATACTGAAGGAGGTGATTTTGAAAGGGACAGGGTGATCTCACTGACTTTTATGTTTCATCACATGGATCCTCTTTTAAGTTTTCACTGATGATAACAATGTTTAATATCATAAAGTGATTTCAGAGCTGCCCAGCCAGCCACACAAATTGTCCTCGTCCTGCACTATTCAAATAACAACCATGCTACAGCTGTTAGCTGAGTTTGTCTTCCAGCACGGCCAATCCAGCCAGGCTGCCTGTGCAAAAAGGAGCATACTAACTATATAAACAAAGAATGAACAATAATAGCACCGCACAAACGTATTAAGTGCTGCGGACTGAGGAACAGCTTTAGCATTGCCACGCAACTGTTGGCTCCTACCACATTTTACATAGCACTAGACCATGAGCAGTGTTAACTCCAGCAAGGTCTTCAGTAATACCAGAGCAAGACTGCACCAGCGTAACAGCAAAAATGTCATGGTGAATGACTATAGTCAAAGTCTTACTACTTTTCCGTGCAGAATTAACTCGAGTGAAAATTATTATCATTATTAAATACTAGACGTGCTTGCTGGGTCTCTGCTAACACATTAGAGCACGTGTTTTCACATGTTCCAATATTAACTCATAGATTTTAGCAGAAAGAGATCAACAGACTTATTTAAGCACTTTTAACAAACACTACATATAAGTAGAGTAAATAGTGGCCTATAAGTATGTTTGCCACAGGCTTCTTTAAGACCACAGTCAAGGTCATCATAGTGCATCTCTGTATTTGAAAGATGTAAGCTGTTGAAAAAGATTCATGTTTAGAATTTTTAGCTTCTTTTAACTGCATGATGTATATATAACTATCATTTTCCTTTATGCTGCACTAATAAAGCATTAAAGCTTATAATCCACAGTAACAACTCATAGCCTAGCAAACTGGGTGAGAGGAGGGCAAGACCAGGTAAACGGTAGTATTAGACTCTCCGAGTACATAACATAAAAGAAATCAAGACTTCCAGCTAGTGAGCAATCTAGTTTGAGACATCCATTCATTTCTCACTGAAAGTGGTCGTATTTATGACAAATAGTACCACGTAGTTTAATCTCCTTGTTTTACTGCTAAAACTGCAGATACCAGGAAACGTCTGCCAACTGCGATAGCTACTGCACTAAACAAGAGCTTCCCAAGGGAAGAGATGGAAACCCTAGCATTTAAATAAATTGAAAGTGGACTCCACAGAGCTCGTGAGAACGTACGTACTGGGAACAGCACTGCTTTAGCATGTAAGAAGGACTAATTAGATAATCCGACAGTCTTCCTCTCTTCTTCATTCCATCATTAATTCAGTGGCAATATTTTTACACCCACCTGTTTGGCATGATTGACGCAACGTAGGTACTGGCTAGCCAGGGCAGAGCAGCTGAGGGTCTCCTGAGCGTGTTGCCGATAACATTGTAGAATTTTATCCTGCAGATCAGTGCAGATTGGATGAGACTCATATCGCCTGGGGAAAGAGAAAAGAACATTTTGGTTTCCTTCTCAAAAAGATTTCAGGGAAGATGCAACTTTTTTTTTTTTTTTTTAAGAAGTAAACTAAATAATAGATGTGAAGGAAAACACTTTAAAGTTATAAACAGAGACAGTTTCTAGAGCTATTTGGGCATTAGACACAAACATCAAGGTGAGCTGCAGAAGTCTGGCTATTAGGACCACACTGTCCTCCTGATCCAGTACTCAGCTTCCAGCTGGCAGAGAAAATTAACATCCAACTTCATATAAGCACACATCTTTAACTGAAGACCCCAGCAACGACAAAGCACATCTGATCTCACCTACGCTAGAAAAACAGTCACAGAACCACAGAAAAGCTTCATCGCTGTATAGCTCTATAACCATATCATCTTGCTACTTATTAAATATTGCTCCTGCATAAAAGCGAAATCACCCATTGGGCTGACCTCGAGAATATAAAAACCCTGCTACCATCACCAAATTACACAACCTACTTCTGCTGATCTGATGACAGCCTCTATTTTTGGTGCATCCTCCTTCCCATCGCCTCAATTCCAATCCTGACGCCAGATGTGCAAGTTATTTAGGAATTCCGTCTATTTTCTTTACTGTATGGATCCATTACTCCTGCCATCTTTTTGGCTGATGCAATACACTTTTTGCCTTCAATGGAAGCCAAAGGAATAGAAGCTTCTTTAGTCTGTCCTGTAAAATCCAACCTCTTTCGGACAAAAATCTTGTCGTTTGCATTAACCTATAAAATGTTATCCACACTGATGGCGCCACAGAATTAAAATAAGAATACAATACTTTCCTATTTCAAAAGTAAGGGGGCTGGCGAAGTGTTTTAGAGATGAAATGTCCATTGAAATTTTAGGCTAACTGGACATTTACTTTATAAATACTTTTTAAGGTATTTATTTCTGTAAGAGACAATCAAATCACAGTTAAAACCCTTTCACACCAAAGACAAAACATTTCAGTGGTAGAAAAAAAACACATGAAAATTTAGAAAACCATTTACAGTTCATATGCCTTGAAAACAACCATTTGCTTTACACGTGTGAACTGTGTACTTAACGCACCTTCCCATTTACCCTACCAGGAAAGCCTGACAGCAGCTGCCGTAACATCCATTCCAGCCCACGCTATTTTTAGTTCAATAAGGTCGTAAAAAAAAAAAAAAAAAAAGACTCATCAGCCACAGTATCCTCAAATGAATATTCTGTTCCTTCTTATTTTGCTGATTGGCCAAGGCAGATCTCTATTTTTCTACAGTAAGAAAGTGAAATGCGAAGCACAATGCTGTTCCTTAGGGGAATTGACTTCTTGGCAATCACTCAAGATGTAGTACGAAAAAAAACGAATGTTAAGTCGCCTTGATTTTACAGTATATACCTATATAAAACATCCCTCTTACTCTTTTCATTCATTACCGTACATCTGTGAAATGCCTAAAACAGAATTTAAATGCAGTCCCAGGTGCTTACACACTTTATGATGTGAAAGTTCAAACTTCTGTAGACTCTTACGGATGAGGATTTTCCCTTAATCCCCCCTCTGCTGATATCAGCAAGCAATTCAAAAGCGTGGTAGGCATCAAAATGTATGACCATAAACTGCTGCACACCGACTGATTATGGCACGGTCTGTATCGGGATGGAGTACGAGAGGAAGCACCACGTACGCTCTTTGTAGACGTAGGACTCACAGCGGTGATGATTTAGGTCCAACTAAACCAGAGCTCATTTTGAATGCCTGAAACCCTGGTCTGGATTGATAAACCAATACAATAGACCATGAGTTAACAAAAAATACACACAGTAAACCTAGCTGTGCCTTTATTCACAAGTGATTTTAAAGTGACTTCTTATACAAAGGTGAAGAGTGAAGGAAATAGGCTGCTGTACACTTGCTACGTAAATTCTGTAAATGTATTTAAAGCCATTTCAATGGGGGTACTCTAACCCACATTAAGGAGCTTTTTTGATTGCTTTTTTCCCTGAGCCGTGCCATTAGCGACCGTTCAGAGTCCACCTATTATCCCTTATTTAAATGCTTCAATGGACTCTTTACATTGCCAACCACGTCGGAGTCCTGTAAGACACATCATCTCCTGCCCCACAGTTACTTCTTTTCATACTATGACTTTTCACTGGTGATTTTTCAAAACACTGCCTGTCCTTCCAGGCACTACAGACCCAATGCAGGTCAATGTAAACAGGGCCACTTCCTTCAAGTCAACGAAGTCCATTTTCTTGGATTAATCTGTTGAAGGAGAGCACCGTCTCCATATTGATCTGCTGTGCTTGTTACGCTACCCTAATGCACTATTTGCACTTTTGGGAAAATGCTAAATGAGATTACTGTCTAACATTAGATGGCCATAAACCACGTGCTGCAGGATCTCCCGTTCAGGAAAGAAGGTTTCAATGTCCATTATGGTAACCCCACCGAAGGGTTTGCGATTGATTTCTGTTTGGTGATGGACAACAGGACTCTCAGATGGATGGACAGAAACAGCCAACAGCGAGGAAACTCCTCAAAAGGGAGATGAAACATCTCCCTAAAGTAGAACTTCTCTAATGTTCCTAGAAATAAGGTTAATTTTACAGAAGCATTTAAGGGTCTGGGGGGCTCGACTGAAGAAAAAGCTTATAAGAAAAGGTAGATAGTCCAAAATCAGTATTTATGTGGAATCTGTAGTAAAAACGTGGTTTTAAATACCTGAATGGGTAAAGCAACCTGGTCTGGTCCAAGAGCTGACCCTACTTTGAGCAGGAGGTCCCTTCCTGAACTATTCTGGGTCCTGAGAGAGAGATCTGTATTTCAGGACATGTGGCAGGTAAAGTATCCCATTATTTCATTTTATTTTTTTTAATCACTTGGGTATTTCACAACTAAACTGAAGGAAAAATACACAATGTAGCAGTGAACCAGGATTGCCAGGGAGCCCTGACAGATTTCCATCTCCATTCAGTGCAACTCAATAACTACAGAATCAACACACACGAAATCTAAAATGCCTTTCTTAGCAAAAGTCAATATGAACAGCAGTCTGATCTGCACCGTGCGCCACATGGCACGCTAGTAACGACGTGTTTTTATTAAGTTTACAATTACTTGATCTGCTTTCGCTTTTCCAGCTGCTCCTCAAGCACCTCACACGCTAGCAGAATATTTCTGTGTGCTGGAATAAACCTCCGAGGGAGCCGCGCACCCTTTTCCATCAAGCTGATGCACCGCAATCTCATAAAGGTAATAGGATGAAGACACAAAAGAAAATGAGAGAGTGTTTTAAAAAGAAATATTCTATGCTAAAGCATGAAGAGAAAATTTAATGAAGGGAACTTTGTACTCATCTAGCCTCTCTCAAAGAGCATAGCTTATTGTATTCCTAGGGGCACCGAGAAAGGAGCCCCTTCATGGCATTCAAACAAAATGTCTACTAAAGAGGAAATTTGAAATCACCACAGTAAGCTTTACAAGTTTTGTGATAAAACTGACATTCTGACTGAAGGAATCTGAATCGCTGATGAGTTTCCAGCTGTGCAAGTATCTGGCATAATCCCACCAGATCAGGACTTCAGGCAATTGTGATAAAATATGGGAAAAAAAATAGCAACAAAAAACCAGCATGCGATACAAAAAGTAGTGCCATTAGATGGCCAGAAGTATTCAGGGCTTAATTTTATTCCTCATTAAAACGCTGACACCTATTCCAAAGCAGCTGTTTTTATTTTGTAACCCTTGGCATCGAAGGCTACCTCTGTACTATTAAATAAAACAGACCAGAGATGATCCTCTGGGTCCAAGGCCAAGCAGCACGATACAGCACAACTGGCATCAATTAAAGGTAAAATCTTACCTTCCCCTCCAAACAAGCAGCTCAGCACATCCACATCCAAACCACAAACTGGGGACAGTCCCCAGCACGTGCTGGTGCCCCGGTCATGCGCGGTGTTGTCCAAGGAAATGTTAGCTCCAAAACAAAACCCTATAAACGAATGTGCTACCAACTAGACCCGGCACACCAGCGAGACGATATCCCGACCTGTTTTATTTACTCCTACTGATGTAGGAGAGGAGCCACACTGTGACCAGACCCCAACTGCGTTAGGTAAAGAAAAAAAAGAAAAAAAAAAGGAGGAGGATGTTGCTTTCCTCAATGTGCTTACAACGCACGCAAAGATAAGAAACACCAGGTTGATGCTGTAACGAGGAAACTGAGGCAATCTGCACTCTCGGGATAGGCAGCCCACTAAGTATAGCAACAGCCTAATTGTTTTCAAGTGCTTCATGAGCAACCGAGAGGATTTTGAGAGGGATTTGTGGGAAGTGAATCAGTTAACGTTGTCTTTGTCTATGTCTAGCAGAAATTCATTCTTGAATGGGTGCTTGGTTGAAAAGTGGATGAGTGAGGGATGGAAGGTGGTGTCACGAGTGGTTCAGGGAAAGTAAATAGGGAATTGGAAACAGCAGGGAAGCAGAAATGGGACATGCAGGGCTTCAAAAGCAAAGATGTGTGACTTGCATGGGATAACATTGATGGGGAAGCCAGTGGCAGGATGAAAGGAGATGATGTGAATACGGGCTAGGAAATTATCCGCAGCACTGCTTTCAACAGACATCACCAGGGCAAGATTTCACTTCTCATGGCCAGGGGGCAAACAAAAATAATAATAAAAAAACCAACGTTGCAGTAACTGGTAGCCTGAGTTGTGATGGATTTAGCTGAGCAGATAGACAAGAAAGGCCATGTTTGAGATATTCTGCATAAAGAGTCAGCAAGAGCAAAACATAAACCTAGCTGAGAAGACCTAGAGAGAAGGTCAGCTCAAAGATGAAGTGTAAGCGACAAGTCTGAAACAGCAGCAAGACAGTGGTATTTTCCTTCATGACACAAAAAGGTGGTGGTGGTGGGGGGTTATTCTTTTATTAAGATTACCTCATCCAAAAAGAGCCACTTCCGGCAGCATCTCTGCTGAGTGA